CCATCTGGAAAACAGTAATTTGAGTAGGATTGAAAGTTGGTTAAGAATTTCTTTATGCATGTGATGCAAACCTTGCTATTTATCATGAGTGCTGACATAGATCTTAGTGTAGGAAAATGTAAATTAGTATAGGTCAGTGTCTCTAAAACATAAAAAATAATATTTAGCGGTAAATTCATTTGAAGTCTGAAATATGACAATACTAAAATCAGAAAGTAGAAATATTTGTTATGTGTGGTGAAACACTGAATGTGGGTAAAATTAGAAATGAAAATTATCACACACTTAAAGGTAATAGGGATTTAAAACTAAACATATTAGAACTTTGAATCGTAAAACTATATGAAAGAAATACAGTTAGATATCATGGTTTTAAACTGTAAAGTTGTGAATGGAAATTTCTGAGTAAAACCTGTAGATATCTATTATGATCGGAGAAAACAAGTATTTTTAAAATTGTAAGGAAATGTTTGAATATGGGAGTAATAAACATCCATATCGTTAAATAAAAAGGAATAAATGTGGAATTACATGTGACAGAATCAAACATTATAATAATATTTAAACTAGAATTAAAATATAACACAGAAGGAAATCATGAACGAGAGAGTAATTAACATATAGACTTACGTTTTTTTAAAAAATATTCGGTAATGTAAGAAGATATTGTTGACATGTGAAAAATTAGAAATTTGTAAAATTTGGTGAAAGAACTATCCCGAAAATAAACGTTTCTTTTTAAATATTTTGAACATTATAACGTTAAAAAAATGTAAATTGCATCTAAAATTAAGTAAGTAACAAAAAACAGCATGTGGGAACATTTGTGAAATATAAATGGTTAAAATCATAGTGAAATTTATGAAAGGTTGAAAAAATAGTATGTGGAATTAATAAATTTACAATTAGAAACGTTAATTAAAAAAATATGACAGTAAATGAATATTTATTATAACCGAAAACCTAAATAAGTTAAGTTTCTTTAAAACTAAAAGGGAAAGTATCAGAATAAAATTGATACTTGAGTAAAAAAAAATTATCTTGTAGTTCTTAAAGGAAGTCTTTTTTATTTTTTCTTTACATTGTTTTCAGAGTCGCGCATTGAATAATTTAACACCAGACTAAAAACATATTCTAAAACATATTTTACTTTTCTTTATAGAGGCAGCTCGTATTCATCAAAATTAAGATCAGAAAATATTTCCCGTTTGCCAATAAAAAACTAACTTTAAATTAAAGCAGGAGGTCTACAACACAATCAGCAGTCTACCACACCTCACTCCACTGGGACCACGCTCCTAGTGTGATGACGTGCCTTTGCCCCGCCTTCTGTGTGACTTCATTGACACCCCACAACCCCACACCCCGTGTCGCAGAACCCCCATTTTTTATCTACTCACGGTAATATAAAACAGTATACATAAATATAAAAGCAGTTTTATTAATTAATTCTGTTTAAAAATAACTAAACTAAATAAATCGGTACTTATACGTATAAAAGCCACCGCAGCAGAAGTTACGCTGATGCGCCACAAAAGAGCAATCCTGTTGTTCGCACGCAGTTATCTTTTGGATTCCTTTTTGCCTTGTTGTTTGCTGATTTTGACGCCATTTTTTAAGTGCTACAAAAATGCGTCTTTGGGATTTGCGAAACCAGAAGACGATCAATTTATTTTTTTCGGTAGAAATATTTTACCAAAAAAAAAAAAAAAAAAAAAAAACGAAAATGTATCAATTCGCAATTTGCATTATATGAAACTTTGTTTTGGTAAACGTACGTAAGTTTTGGAATGTATTTAGACAGTGTGATCAGCAAGTGGGACTTAGAAAAGACAACTGGTTTGAAGGAAGCAGAGCTTCATTTTGTTCAGCTTTGAGATTCATATCTATGTTCAACTCTATATCGGCCCATTTTCCATCGAAATCCGATTGACTACTTTGATTTTAAATAATGCGCTTTAATTTATGATTTGTCGCAAACATTTTAGGTGTAGATTGGCGGCACTTAAAAACACTCAATCTGCAGCTGCAGTGGAGTTAATACGTAAGTACCAGTAAATCAATATAAAAACCGTAACAATATGGATTGATTTTAAAATTTCACTGTTTACATCCAATATGATAGTTCTTATAACAAGATGGAATAATCATGAGCTTTTCTCCAATGGAAAAATTTTTGTTGTAATCCCGTGACTCATTTTTCAGTTTTCTGTGAACTTTACCTTATTTCTTTGACATTTTCCATATTATGCGCTGTGAATTTTTAAATATTTAAACACTTTGTTGACTGTACAGCTTTAAAGATGAACTTAAGTAATGTTTCATGCATAAATTAAGCTAATGATATGAAGAGTTATCGTATTTTCTTATGCGTACTCTTGGGGGTACGAATGTTTTTTTTTTTTTTTTGTTCCCTCCCCAGTCGTCTTTTAGCGAGGGAGAATGTAATGAATTATCGCATTCCTTATGCCTGCTTCCGTTATGTATCTGGTAGCATGTCCAGAAAATAACTGAAAGATCCGCGGGTAAAATATTCATGAAAGAATAACCGAGTCTTCAGATTTCTTGCTTCAAAAAATTCAAAACTTCTCTACCATTTTTGACACGTTTGACTACATTTACTTTTGTATTTCAGTCACTAACCTACTGCAGAGATGAGTACACTTCACACAATGATAGAAAAGACAGTAAGGTTTTCACGCAAGTGCTTATGTAATAAAAATAAATTCATGGATTAATTTGAAATTTCGTCTGACAGGTGTCTTACAAAATAGCAGATTTGTTAATAGTTATTTATTCCTTTTCGTACAATACTGGGCAATTAAAATTCAGTTTTAGATCTTAATTATAATTTGAAGCTAAGATTGTTTATCATTCTTCAAATATTCAAAATTCGTTAACGGGATATAAGTAGGGTATTCTGATTTTTTATCCCATTAATGAATACATACAAAATCAAGTAACCTCTTAGGGTTAATTCAAAAGAAATAAGTACCTTTTGTACATAGTTCCCATTTTACTCCCTAATCAAATCCTAACGCAGTGGTATTCAAATTTTATGGCAGTGCGACCGCATAAAAAATGCAAACGACCCTAAAAAATAATTTTGCGACCCCAATCAAAACGTCGACTCTTAGTTACGTACCCTCAATTCAGATTTTCTAGAAATTTTATCCTTCTTGTGACCTAACTATAAATTTTCGCGACTCCAAATAGGGTCACGATTATAGTTTGAAAACCAATATTCTAGCGTATTTCCATTAAACACTTTTTGCGCAAAAGAACAACTTATTTATTTATTGAATTTTCCCCATAAAGTTATATTAAAACAATCTGTATGTTATTTCCTAAAATGAAATAAAATATTTCTACTGGTTAGATAGTACTTGTTATATGATACCCAATCATAAAAATGAAATGAAGAAGTGATATTTATGAGCTTAAAACTTTATAAAAGTTTTTAAAACATAATTTCTTGAATATTTTTAGAAAAAATATACTGTATGAGAAGCATAAATTAAAAACATATATCAATGAGTTTCATTAAAACTTCGAAAGTTTTCGAAGATTCTTACTTTGCTCAAGAATACTATATACGTCATCCGCTGTGCAAGAATTCGGCATACAAACGCCTATTCTTAATCCTAGAAGATAAAACCAGTGAGCGTTCTTTGCTGTTTCAGCGAAGCTCTGAAAAGAATAATATAAAAATCACTAAATAAAAACTGATGTAAAGATACTAGAAGCAATAATAAAAGAACACTGAAAATTCAATGACGGGCACCGAATTCTTCATTTAGTTGCATTTTAAAAAGCCACCCAAATTTTCTATAATACGCAACCTATGGGTTAATTACCGGTAACTATGAAATCTCAGTCTAAAGGTTACCGACAACCAACGAATTTGAGATGCATCTTGGTTGTAATTTTATGTTAATAAACTATTTAATTGATGTATAACTATAATAATATTAAACCTAAAGTATGTCTTAGTGATACTTTCTATGGATTACATCTCAAAACAATTTTTTAAGGAATTGGAAATAAACTGCGGTAACGGACAGGAATAGAACGACCTGCAATCTGGTTATGACAACAAATGAACAAAAACATCTACAAAAGTAACAAGAGATTAATAAATAAAGCAATGTAGATAAAATCTCAAATAAATGTGCAGAAAATCGAATACTAGTTGTATTATCATGAGAGGCTGTTTTAATATGTTTCGGAAACCTAAAGAAAGTGACCAGTTTATTTTATTGTGTTTGATGGAAAAAAATTTTTGCTGCTTTTCAATGCTGAAAATGTTAGTAATAATCACGCAGCAAGTTGATTGCTATGTTTCATTTAGATTTAATTAAAAGTACTAATTCTTAAATTTATGTGATGAAAATTTCTTGCAGTGTGAAATGCTCGAGTTAAATAAAAAATTAATTTTTTTAATAGTTAAATAATTCTTATTTGTAATTATCCGTAAGTACTTCTTTGAAAAGCATCCTTCCTAGATCAAATTGATTTCTTATGTGCCTAACTATGATTTTCAGATCGTATCACAGTCGTCGGGAGATTAAATAAATCATCTCATCTTGCGTCAATGGCAATATCTCCCTCTATTGACAAGTTTTTAATTATAATTTCATATAGTATTGAAAAAATAACAGATGCTTTGAAATATTCTAAAAAACAGTTCTGAGCAATTGTGCGTTTCTTACTTATAAGGCAAGAAACATTTTGATAAATATCAGTTGTTCAGCATTCTCGTTTCTGATTTTGTTCTTTTCAGAACATTATACGAAAATGTTTTTACTACAGCTGTTAAAGCACTTGCTCTACTCTGAACGGAGTAAAACGCCAAATTCACTCGCAGAACAAATTAGCAAGTTAATAGAACTGATTCTGAATTTCCTGCCCAACTTACATTATGCTTTTTCTAAGATGGACGAAAGGAAATGGTGCTTCTGATATACTCTAGGCTATATATTCCGATTTGTTCATGATATTTACGCAAGATCAATTTCTATTTACATATAACTTTGCATGCAATGTAGCTTGGATATGCAATATAATCTCGAATCGTTTTTCAACTGGATAGGTGAAACAAAATGAAAAATGCGAGAAAGCGATTAAACGGTAAGTTAGTACATATTACAAAAAATATTATAAAAGCATAACATATATTGCTTATTCAGATGTCAAACAACAAAAATCAGCGTTATACTTACAAAATTTTTACAGGACTAGTTTCGATGGTTTTACCAAACCACATCCCGCTGCAAAACCCAATAACGCTTTTTGTTTTGACTTCTATAGTATTTATTCGGCGTGTTATTGGTCTTATATAGAAGCCCCAAACATTGCGGTTTTCGCTGAGGATGGTGGTTCGGTAAACCATCGCACTAGTCCTGTGGAAATTTTGTAAATATAACGCTGATTTTTGTTGTTTGACTTCTGAATTAGTATTTATTCGGCGTGTTATTGTGTCTTAAATATATTGCTTTCAGCATAAATACGCTAAAAACTGTACATTGCTCTTGTTGGCTAAATATTGCCTCAATTTAAAGTACTGCTTTTCGAGAAGTAAAATATTTTTATGGTCCGCATTGCGTCTACTTTGCGCATAAAAACACGCTTTGACATCTTTGTAAAACTTCGTAACTCTTGATGATGCTCGACACCTTCTTCTTTTCATCGTTTAGGCAATTGGAGTTTTGAGCACTTTTACCGATCAACTACCTTTATAGTGTACAGTAATGGAGACTACTGTTCTTAGAACTACAGAATGAAACGATGAAAAATGAAAACCAAAGATGATTGGTTTTCATGTTCGGACTCGCTGATTAAAATAAAATGTGTTGTTTTAAGTACTTACTGTATTCTGGCTGGTAATATTCGCAAGTTCAGGTATCTTGTGAAACAGTGTATACAGTTGTGGCTTTGGGGGTAGGACAGGTGTAAAGTGAACTAGGCAGTAAAGACCCTTTTGAGGGTTTCCCTCTTGATCCTTCAGTTCCGGAATGACTAGGTTGACACACTCATCGTAATCTCCAACGTATCCGAAGTTACCTTCGAACAAACCATCTCCCGGTTTGCCCCATGCATCGATTACTGAAATAGGATATACATATATGAGTATATAATTACATGGAAACTAGAAATTTACATTTTTCATGAATATTCATATTTTTTATGTTTACTATTTACAAATGCAACTGTATAAATTTGTTTAACTTTTTCAGGATATATAGAAGACAGCAGATTACAGACTCCTGAGATATTAAAAAAAGATTCAACTCAATGAGTAAATAAATACAATATAAAAACAAATGATTATTTTTAACCGAAGTGCTTAACATATGGTGCTAGAAATATATTTTATTAATCATAAAAGAGTTGTGTAAATTCGCAGAAATTAAGTGGGTACGTCATAAATGAAATGTAATTAAACCTATGTTGAATGAATATATCACTAAAATAAAATTATGATTAATTTATTAGTCCAAAGGGGCTTTGTTCCTGAAGGACTATTGTTTTCGTTTTGCGATTTTGCGTTGAATCACTATAAATGACCGTTTCACTTTTCAAACTGGTGTCACCAAATGTTAGAGTCCTGCTTATATTGAAGAAATATAATGAAAAATCGCATAAATATGGTATTTCTTGCATTGTGATAAAACCGGTACATAGAGCCATCGAATTTTGAATGCGTAACCTACTGCGAATATTGCATCTGAAGCTCGAATTTGAAATTTTGAATTTGTTTTATTATCGATTTCATATTTTGTAAACGTTTAATGAATTTCTGAGTAGAAAACTCAACGATTTGAAAGAAAGCAATGGCAACACTCTACAGGGGGGGAACTCTTTTAATCTCCAGCGCGCGAAACTGTATATCCGGAAATTCTAAAGATAAGGTCATTTTTAAATTGTTTTGCGATATTGCTGTTAAATTGAATTTTATGGTTTAAGTGCAAAGAACATTTTAATAAATAAAGGTAACACACAAAAGCACACAAAAGATTAAAAAAAGATCCCTTTGGGCGAAATGTAAAATCTGAAAGATTTCAGGTTTTTTTTTTTTTTTTTCCTTCTTTTCTTTTTAAGTATTTCGTTTATTTTTTTAAATCTCTCATATTGATGAGTAATGAGTTATATTTGAAAGACAAACTTAAGTTTATGTCAGATCAATAGCAACACTCTGTCTCTTTGCCATGCCACATAGCCAACACTTTCGAAAATGATAAATTTTGTAAAGATTTACAATAAATGAAATGACAAGTAAAGTAACCTTAATGAAACATAAAGTAACATAAAGTAAAACCCAAACGTATGGCTCGTTAAAGACATATCCAGAATAAAAATTAAACTCATTACGGCTTTTATTGCAAAAACATAAGGTAAAAATATTTTAAAAGGGTTTGAAGAACTAATTAACTTTAGAACGCATAAGTGACTAAGCATTACGCTTCCAGATTTAATGTGAATTAAACATGAAAATTTCTATTACTTTCCACAGCGAAATCTTTGAAAATTGTGTCTGATGTCGAAATATTTTATAGAGGTACCTCAAATCATGTAACGTTTTGCTCTTTCCAAGATTTCTTGGAATATTACGTAACTTTCTCAGAATAACTCCACAAATTTAGAAAGTCGAATGTTTATAAGTTCAGAAAATCGAATTCTTAAAAATTAGGAAATTTATAAGAAAGTTAAAACAATTCATTCCAAAACAATCCATTCTATAGCTAAAATTATCTCATTTACAAAAAATAAACAGTTTTTATTGTATTCTTTATATTGGGCCATTCCATAAGTAAGAAGTCTTTTAATAAAGTATACCTGCATTGAGTTGCTAAAAAACAAATAATAATATAATCTCTTTCTTATTCTTAGTGCAAGATTTAAAGAGTGTTGTTAGATTTTAACATTTATTTTTTCAGAGCTAAATGAAATTGACAAAGGAGCATATTTGGCCCATTTTGCTTTATGAATTCAATTAAGTAAATATGAATATTAATGTAGCATATGAGGATCGAACAACAAGCGTAAGCCAGGTTTAACGATGGTTCAAAAAATTACGAGCCGAAAACTACAGCCTTGCCGAAAACTAAGTCAACAACCGAAAACAAACAACAGCCGAAAACTAAGTCTGTTTTCTTTATAAAATCCTTCAGGAAGACATCCTTGTTCCTACACAGATACAGCAAGTGTGCATTGCCATATTACAATAAAAAACATTCAAAACAGTTCAGATGATGACCACAAGGCTACTTGAAACATTTACGATGTTAATAAATGTTCTTGTACTGTTTGGGAATTTTAAGCGAGGGAGTGTGAATTTTATGAACTGTCAGCAGTTCAACACCAAATAGAACATATGGCATACATAGTAACTGCTTTCTGCTAGACATTCAGTGACGTATTCTCTCTTGACAGCAGCTACAAGCCTCACTGGATTTAAACTACAGGGTGTCTCGTAAATGTTACGACAAACTTCTAGGGGAGGTAGGGTACATCATAAGGATTAAGAATTGCATAGAACCCATACCCTGAAATGTCAGGGGTAAGTGGTAGCAGAGGTACAAGATGGAAAAGGAAACAAGAGAGTGATTCATTTGAAACATTTATTGGACGTGACTACAAATGGTGAATACATACGCCAGCTTGAATGTTACAACAGATGCTCGAAGTTTGCACCATCAGAAGCCAAACATGCCTGACACCGAGGAACCATTTATTGCCAGACATGTTCAAACACAGTGGGAGTTTCTTTGATTGTAGTAGCTGTGCAGGCAAGTCTTGCCACGATATCCATTTTAGACACAGCAGGATCGTGATACACCACACATTGGATGGCTTCCCACAAAAAAAAATCAAGGCTCGATAAATCTGGTGACCGTTCGGGCCAGGTAACCGGTCCACCACGCCCAATCCATCGATGCGGGAATGATCTATTCAAATGGCTACGAGCATCCAGTCCAGAATGAGGCCACAAGATCCACTTCAAACACAACAGGATCGTGATACACGACACTTTTCATGACTCCCCACAAGCAGCATTAAGCAGTCGCCGACCAAACCCGCGCAGACATTGACTTTGAAGCTTTGTTGTGCCGCGTGCGGATTTTCTTGAGCCACAAATGCTCATTGTGGTGATTGAATACGCCATCCCTATTGAATATGGTCTCATCCGTAAACAACACATAAGCTGGGAAATTAACATTACAGGCACTTTCTTACAGAAAACACTGTGCGAAATGCACACATTCAGGATGGTCATCGGGGAGCACTAACTGAACCCTTTGGAGAAGAAAGGCGTGGAAGGACTCGTCGTTCAAGAGACGTTGGACACTGGTACGAGACATTCTTAATTGAGACGCAATGGCACGTATGCTGGTCCTTGGATTACTCTACACCGTATCCAACACACTTTCTTCCCTAACGACCGAGTGAGTCGATCGTGGCCTGCCTTCACTTGTCCTGCCACTTCTTAATGACCCGTAGTCGCGCAAATTTTCATGCAGACGTGAAAACAAACTGTGGAGACAAATGCGTGCACGGCACGTTCCATTCTCTTCGTATGGTACCTACCGCTCAGATAAGGCAATCCTCACTCTTCACTAGCACTCTCCTGTACAACAAGGCCTGGCAGCGTACAATGACGTTTCTGGGCATGGGTTCTTATGCAATTCTTAATCCTTATGATGTGCCCTATCTCCCCCAGAAGTTTGTCGCAACATTTACGGGACATCCTGTATATAGCAGTTCAAATGAGATTTCAGATCGTGAGGAATATTTTACACCCCCTTCCCGTCAAACAAGTTCGAAAATGTGCTATCAGAAAGATAAATTTTATTGTTATATGATTTCAAAATACCCTACTAGTGTGTATTTTTCTCACTTTTCTTTCTATATGCTATTCGTAGAGATTTGGGCTGATTTCAAGATGCACGTACAAGTGCTTCTTCAAGAATACGGGAATAATTATTTCCCTTCGAGACGGCATGTTGCTGAACTAAAAACCCTCTACAGACGTGTATGTCATATATGCAATCAGTCGGTCGCTAGCAGCCGGGTGATACACTGATGCATCGCACACTGCGTTACACTGGTACAACACACCGTCTCCAAGGTTAGTTGCGCTAAACGACATGCCGTCTGGTAAGAGTATTAGCCGTTGATGCATATATGATACACCCGTCCTGAAGGGGTTTTAAATATTATTGAACATGTCAGTGAGTTTAGTGTTGTCCAGAAATGTCTAAGAAATATCTTTATTCTCTGAACTAAGAAATCTAAAGCATACTGGAGTGACAGATAAATAAGATGGTGCTTTGCAGCGAAAGAAACCTGTATCAAGGGTCATTCTTCCTCACAGATTTCAACTACTTGTCAAGGTAAAAATGAACAGACTTACTTAGGAGTTATTAAAGACAGTGAGGTCATGGAAGGTTAGCAGTGGTTGATTGCTACTACCTTGAAATATCAAATGTACGCCTACGTCGATCTCAGGCTGTATTAATTTAAATGTCATTAAATAATAAATAAATAATAATAAACTACAAATAGTTATTGGATCTGAAGTGATAGTAAACAAGTATATTTGTTTATTTTGTAATATGTTGTGATGAAAAACTTTAGAACTTAAGCACTTTGCACTTAGATATTGGAAGAATTTTTGTTTAAAGAAATGTCAGTTTCAGCATTTTTATTTACGTCTATATGCATACGGAAAAGCCGAAATTTTGCTTCTTGAAGAAAGGAGCGTGACGCCTCAAGCCTTGCAACGCACAAAAGATTTGTACTAAAGACTACTGTCAGTTTATGGTTGGTTTTGTCTTATTTTATAATTTAAGGTGACGTGCTTTTCTCTACTCTTTTAGGTGTGTTTTTCTGTTTGTTATTCATCAGTGTGGATTTATGTTATCTAGGAAAACGACATTCTTGAAATGTTACATTTATACGTAATAGTCAAAATATAATTTTCAACGATTCTTTTTTTTTTTTTTTACCTATAAAAAAATCGATATAGACTTAGTATAAACAAAATTTGATATAAATATGATAGAGATAGTTTTTTTAAATAATACTGAAGCTTTCATTTATTT